TTGTTTGGATCCTCAACGCCGCCTCCATCCTTTTTGGGGGCCGCCTTTTTCTTCGCCGCCGCGGGTGGTTCCCCCCCCCCCCCCCCCAAAAAAACACACACTCCCCCTCCCCCCCTCCCTCCCTCCCTCCCTCCCTCCCTCCCTCCCTCCCTCCTCCCCCCGCCCCGCCATGAGGCGTCGTGTGTGGACCCCCCCCGCCCCCCCCCCCAAACCCTCCGTCACGTGTGTGAACCCCCCCCCCCTTCACCCACCCACCCACCCACCCCACGCGCGTGCGCTGTCGCACATAGGCACCTCCCAGGCCAAGAGACGGGCAACGTGCGCCACGTGCTCTCCAACGGATTTGGCGCTTACTCGCGCAACCCGCGCACTATCGCGGCGACCGTCTCTCGCTGGCTCTCGTCGCCCTCAGAGCTGCAGACGCTGTCGCGCAACGCTCGGGCAGCGTCGCGACCGGGCGCGACGGCCGACATCGTGCGGGACGTGTTGCGGCTGCTGGAGGATCGACTCGAGGAGGGCGGGCAGGGGGCGGTGGATGCATGAGGCATGAGCGGGAAAAGCCGTGACGAGCATCGGACGAGCATCCGGGCGCCCCAATATCTATTAAGGGAAGGGGGGAATGTGACCTCGGCGGCCACGCGCGGCGCGTACCCTCGAGTTACTCATATTTATGGGAGAAGGACAGGGTCCCCACCTGCACGAGCAGGATCTTGTAACGACCATCAGGGCCCAGTTTTTCTTTTGTAATTTTGTCTCGCGGAGCGCATCCTCTCGGGTGGAATCAAACATCAGTACGGAACATAGTCGCCAGGGCGTGGTGGGCGGGAGGCGACTGAGAGGTGATGGCGAGGCGTGCGAGCGATGAAGGGCAGACACTCGATTCACGATTGCGCCGACGGGCGCAAGTCTGCCGATATCTCATCCAATATACTCATTAGCTTCGACGCCTCATGGTGTGAAGTAGATGATGTGGTACAGAGGCCTACGGCCTGCAAGGCGAGCACCGCACGAAGCCCAGCACCACCCCTCAGCAGAGCTGGCGAGAATCCTGGCGGATTCGCGCTACCTCTGCAAAGGGCCCCTCCGGTACTTCGACGCGGCTGCTCGCGTAGAGGAGGTAGAGAGGGAGAGGTTGTATTGAGTAATGCGTCCTTCTTGCGATACGAACCGAAGAGAGACCCTCAGCATCGCCGCCGCGGGTGCGGCGGCTAAGCCTGACATGCGTTGAGTGAGGGGAGGGAGGCGATGCACTTTGCCCCACGCTCTCGGAGTATGAGGTCTCGCCAGTACCTCGAGACGTCGGGCCAGGAGGCGCCCTCGCACAGCTTTTCTGCGAGGAATCTTCTGCTAACCTCGACTCCGAACCTCGACTCTGCCTTTTGTAATTTGTCGCGGGGGTCCAGCGTGACGTGACGAGTATATCGCTTCGGCGGATCGACCGTGCTTGTTATCAAGACTGATATGACGTACACAGTGACACATCAGACGACACATAATCTCTCACCCGGCGGGCCGCAAAACGCTCTCGACAAGAGCCACACAAAGCCACGCGCACGGCAAGCAGTTCGTCGGACAGGCGTGCTCGATCGATGTCGGAGAGCCAAGGACAAGCCCGGAGGGCAGCCACGCAGAGTGGCGCCACTTCTCGAGCGTCGGCTTGCGCCGGAGCGCCGCAGCCAACCCTGCAGCGAGCGAGTCGGACAGACCCCGCTAATCCGCCTCCAGGGTTCACTGGTTTATGCGGGAAAAGTTTTTCTTTTGTAATATTGTCGCGCGGAGCCCGGGGCGAGCGCTGTCCTGGGCCTATCGGCATGGACGTGCCGGCTGGCCCTCATTTCCTCGAGAGCGAGTGGGTGATCTGGGAGCACCGCGCGCCCGACAAGAACAAGTCCTATGAGGACAACATGGCGAAGTTGTGCGAGGCGCGGCCTGCACTCCCGCTGCGCCGTCAGCTCGCCCCTCTCTCGGGAACGCTGAGACGGAATCGCCCTCCCAGGTGGCAACAGTGGAGGACTTTTGGCGCGCGTGGAACAATATCCCGAAGCCCTCAGAGATCTTCTACGACGGCAGGACGCGCAAGAAGTTCGCGTCGCGCACCGTCGAGGCGTTCTCCGTCTTCAAGAAAAACATCAAGCCCGAGTGGGAGGACCCCGCGAACCGGTCTGGAGCGGAGTGGTACTGCCGAAGGGCCTTCACGATGCCACAGCTCGACGAATTTTGGCTCCACATCGTCCTGGGCATGATTGGAGAGACGCTTGACGCCGGCGACGAAATTTGCGGCGCGCGCGTGGTCGACAAGTCGGTCAACGGGCGGACGATGTACCGGCTAGAGCTGTGGTTCCGCAAGAACGACGACGCTCTCTCCAAGGAGCTGCTCGCCAAGATGCAGGAGGCGTTGGGCAAGGGCGCGCAGACTTGCAAGTGGGACCTGCGTTCGCACTAGAGCAGACGAGCTTCTCCTTCTCTGCACTTTATGCTGCTGAGCCCAGCCTGCCGCTCTCGCGCCTCAGGGTGCCGCACGCCGGTTAGTGCAGGCGCGGCTTTTTCTATACGGTAAAGGTTTTCGGTATACATGTAGCCTCTCCCGGTGAACGGGCGGCTTCTCGCGCGGCGGCCCCGCGCGCGCGCGCCCCGGGCCCGGGGCGCCCGCGGCGCCGCGCGCCGGGTCGGGGTGAGTTGACGCAGTTGTGTGTTTGAGCGCGGGGTGAGGTCTGGGGAGTGGCAGTGGGGTAGCGTCTGTAGAGACGAGTACGTCGGCCGACGCTGCCGTGTGTTGGTCTCTCTCGGTGGGGGTGGTGTGGTGCGTGTGCCGTGCGGGGTGGTGCGCGCGCGCGGGGCGCGGCAGACGAGAGAGCGGTGCAGAGCGTGGCCCGAGCGGACGCTTCGTGCAGGACTGATGGGGGCGGCGGCGACGCGGCAGCGGCAGCGGCAGCGGCGCGCGGGCGGGGGCGGCGGAGGGGCGGGCGGCGGCAGCGGCGGGGGCTGCCTTCCACCCGTAGCTCAAGGCTGGGGTTTACCGGTATCTAGGTGCTTTTCACTATCTGCAGATAGTGCAAAACGGTGCCAGATAGGTATCTGGTTGCTCTTTTCCGCGATTTTTTACAAGCAGATATCTGGGCAGATCTCTGGTTGGTATCTGGGGTCCTGCCGTCGTCCCGTCGTGTGGGCCGACCGGCCGGATTTTTGCGGGTGGTGAAGAAGAAATCTTCCGGCTGGTGAAAGCAAAGGCCCGAAAAAATATTCTTCACGCAGCATTCACACAGCTCAACTTTACCGGCATCATGAAGGAGATCGCGCCCGCAGATTCGACCCCGGTGCTCGATGAGCTCGAGCAGTACCTCGCGGAGTCCGAGGAGTCGGCTCGAGCTCGACGTGCTCGCGTGGTGGAAGGCCAAGGAGACAAAGTGGCCGGGCGGCGCTTGCCAAGATTGTCAAGCAGTACTTCGCCGCACCGGCCTCCTCCGCGGGCGTCGAGCGCGTCTTCTCGGCCGCGGGCAAGATGCACGGCGTGGCGACCTCCAGAAGTCGGCCAAGGACACCACGCTCGAGCACTCACTCTTCGCGGAGTTCAACACCGAGTAGGGAGTCCACTGGTGCGCGGCTTGAGCGGCAGCGCGGGTGAGAGGCAGCGCGGGAGCGCGCCTCGACCCTCCGGCCCTCGGCCTCGCGCCCTGCCGCGGTGTGACTGTGTCGCGGCCGCTGTCCGCCGTGCCGCTGTCGGAGTGTGGGTGTGTCTTGGTGCGTGTCTGGACGGTCGGTATCTGCTTGGTATCTGGGTGTGACGCGCTCTTTTACTATCTGGTAGATACAGATAGTGGCTCTGAGCCTTCAGATATCTGGCAGATACCCAGATATCTAGGTATCTGGCTCATCTAAACCCCAGCCTTGCCGTAGCTGCTCAGGCCGGGGGAGGGGGAGAGACCTCCTGTTGGAAGTCGGAACGTGCGCAGCCCCCCCACCCCACCCCCCCCCCCGCCCCCCCGCCCGCCCCGCCCGGTCTTCGATGCAGGGCGGTGGTCGTGCCATCGGCTCTTCGTGCACACACACACACGCCGCAGTTGCTCGCGGTCGACGGGCGCGCTCTCGCGGAGAGATGTGTGCGTTCGTCCGAACCCCCTCCCGGCTGCACTCTCAACCAAGAGCAGCTTCATCTGTAGCCGTCAGTCGGTTTTCACCTCCTCCACCGATCAAGACGCGTCGACCAGCAGCGCCCACAGCTTTGCCGGCCAGCGCTTCGCAGCACCCGTCGCAAAGCCAAAGATCGTTGAAGTTATGGCCAGACGGATAGGTGGCAACGCACTCCGGCTGTCGTAGCTCTACTACGCTCGGAAGACGGAATGCATTCCGAGATAACGTTCAGAACGCTGTCCCTCGTCGAGTTGTACGTACGTACCCTTGAGTCGTCTGATGTGTATAGGTGTGTACAAGAAACTATTTCTCAACGCCTAGACGCCATTCCTTGAGGCTTGGTTATGTGAGTGGGGTGGACCCACAGATCATGCAGGAGCAATAGGGAAGAAATCCGCAGGTACGTTTTGGAGCTATGAAGGGTTAAAGTTGGAGTTCCGAGCAGCTCCTCGGGGCCGGTCGGGGAGGCACTCTCGGGGAGGCTTCTAGCGCGCCAATCACTCAGCTAGCAGCTCCTAGAAGGCCGAGGTGTAACTCATATGATTTCAGATGTATATGAGTTACTTCACTTTGGCTTAAACCGGCTGTGCCCGAGCTTGACGGTGCGCCACGCTGCCACCACCGTTGCTCCGTTGGCCGCTCGGGCCTCACCTCACTCTCTCCGGCCCCTTCTCTTGGGTCTTTGTCACCTAGGTCCTCCCCTGTGCACAGCTCAGAAGATATCTTGGGTCCCTCTTCCTAGCCCCTTATACACACTTCTTAGCTTTAAGGAGCCGCATACACAAGACAGCCTGACTACGACAACAAAGTGGCCGTTTCACGGAGCACCGTGTTGCCTTCGGTGGCAGCGGTGGCAGGGTGGTGTGGCGCAATAACAACCTCGACCCGCGAGCCCTTGCTTGGCATGCTAGCAGGGGCATGTCCTGCTTGACCAGGAAGGCCAGTCTCTCCACCTCTAGAGCCTGGGGCGGCGAGATTCAGCGAGACTGCTGCGATTTCCCGGCTCGCGACCCGTCTGCTGTGCGAGCAAAGGCGCACTTCGGGCGCCGTGGGGGGCGCAAAAGCGCGTTTCACGCTGCACATCTGACTAGAGAGTTGTAGTCCCGGGTCCGCACTACAACCCCAGAGTCGGAGATTTGGTGTCAGTCGCTTGTCCGCGCCCTCCAGGGCGCGCGGACTTCTGGGACTTGCATGGCGGCTCGGTCGCGCCCCGTGAGCTGTGCGAGCAAAGGCGCACTTCGGGCGCCGTGGAGGGCGCAACAGCGCGTTTCACGCCGCACATCCGACTAGAGAGTTGTAGTCCGGGGTCCGCACTACAACCCCAGAGTCGGACATTTGGTGTCAGTCGCTTGTCCGCGCCCTCCACGGCGCGCGGCGTGCGAATACAAAATCGGCCCGACTTAGCCATTCTGAGCACCGTGTTGCCTTCGGTGGCAGCGGTGGCAGGGTGGTGTGGCGCGAGAACAACCTCAACCCGCGGGCCCTTACTTGACATACCAGTAGGGGCATGTCCTGCCTGACCAGGAAGGCAGCCGCATACACAAGACAGCCTGACTACGATAAACTCTCACAGCTCCCGGGCACACTCTCACAGCCTACTAGGTACGTCGGCGCCCGGCCGGCGGGGAAGAGTCGCCGCCATCCCGGCCACGCTTGCTCCTTCGGACAGTGCGGCTCTTTTTTGCCCCATCCCTTGGCAGCTGCGCCTCTGGGGCCGCCTCAGCCTCGGCAGCAGGCTCACGGGGCCGCTTTGGGGGCTTGGCGTTGGCCGTGGGCTTGGCGGCGGGCTTGGCGGCAGGCTTGGCGGGGGGCTTGGCGGGGGGGTTGGTGGCGTGCCGGCTCGCGAGGCGGGATGATCTCTCCGCCCGCCTCGCCTTCTTTGCCTCACGAGCAATCACGGCAGCCTCTCTTCCCGATGCGCCGGCGCTCTCACACCGTGACCTCTTCCGGCTCTCGGCCGCCAGCCGGCCGCTCTCGACGGCAGCGTCGATGGCGTCCCTCACCGCACTCCTCGCCTTCCTCGCAGGCGAACGAACCGCCGGGGAGATCAAGCTGGAAGGTGGCAGTGGGTTGGAACGACCCCGGCGCAGGGGCGACGCACGAGAGGCAGAGAGGCGGGCAGGGCTGAGCACGGCGTCCTCGTCGATGTTGCGACGGGCGGGCCTCACGTCTGGGGAGAGGTTGCGCCTTGGGCCTTGCAACTGCGCGTCCGGATGCTTCCCGCGAGGCTTCGGGAAGTGTGGGCAGTCTATGGTCCGATGACGTTCGCCGCACCTGTCGCAGCAGGCCATGAGGCGAGACTCTCGAGCACCTTGGCACTCGCGCGAGAGCTCGACTTTTGACACGCGTGAAAAAGAATTCTACCTGCGTCTCGACACTGGAGCGCCGGCCCGCGACACCATCACCCGACGAGCGCCGGCCGCTAGTGATAGCCGCGCCACGCACGCGACGCGGCGGCGTTTCCTCACGGTACGTGAGTGTTGGTGGCGCTGTCGGCCGGCAGCGCCACCGCAGGCATGGCACGGTGCGCTTGCCGCCTGGACGCGACGCCACGGCCGTGCGCGCGATGACGAGCGCCTGCGGCGCATCGCCGCCACGATCACGGCACACCGTGAAGTGACACGCGACGCGGCGTTTCCTCACGGCACGTGAGTGTGCGGTGGTGGCGCTGTCGGTGGCAGCGCCACCGCAGGCATGGCACGGTGCGCTTGCCGCCTGGACGCGGCGCCACAGCCGTGCGCGCGATGACGAGCGCCTGCGGCGCATCGCCGCCACGATCGTGACGCACCGTGGAGTGAGGTCGGGAGAGAGCAGGGAGTGTGTAGTGAGAGGCGCAATGGGCCCACCGAGAGGCGCCGCACCGCGTGCTTCAATGGGACGTCCACGAGCGAGGCAACGGCGAGCCAACGGCACCGTCCGCCGCAGAGCGCCAGCGCGGCGCGCCGAAGCAGCGAGGAGCCGCGCGCCGCCGCCCAGCGGCGCCTCGCAACAGTACACTCCGCACCGAGCAGTCGTCGAGGCTCTGCCGGGTGAAGTCACAGCCTGTTTGCATCGCCGACGCGTGGCTCAGACGCGTGCGGCGACGCTGCTGGGTCTCTCCGTGTGCCTGGGAGTGCGTGGACCGGCAGCTAAGGCTGTGGCGGATGGCTCGCCGGCGACTCGCTCGACGCTCGCAGCACTCGGCGGCGAGGAGGCGGCGCAGCCGAGTCGCGTCGCGAGCCACCGCTCGGGCCTGCTGGCAGCCTGCTGCGGACCCTGTGGCACCCGCCGGCCACGAGTGGAGCCGGGAGGAGGCCATGGGGGCGCTGCAAAGGCGGCGGCGGCGGCCATCCTGCGGCGTGTCGCGCCAGACGAGTGGGGGGTACTTTTAGCTCAGTTCGCACCTGTGTCGAGCCTGTCTGCTGTGAGATAGAGTTGTTTTGTTTAAATACTTTTAGCTCACTGGGAGAAAAGGGAGAGGGAGGCGCGTTGTAGGTTCGTTGTTAGCAGATCAAGACACAGAGCTCACGCAAATTCACAGTGGGAGGAAAGCGGCGAGTCGCAATTCCTGGGGTCCTTGTGGCGGGCCAACCCTGTCGAGTGGTCTAGGCCGATGACTTTTAAAGGACTTGTCCTTTACAAAAGGACACCTTGATCTCGCGTTTTCGCTCCCATTGAGCTCTCTGCAAGCCTCTCCTGGGCATTGAGGTATGCTACCATGTCCACCTGACAGCCTCCAGGCGGCGGGGTCACGACCCAGCCCAAGCAACACATTCAAAACCGACCCGGTGACGTACCCGCAACCGCTTGTCCTTTACGCCCGCTAGTCCTCATCACTGTCTACAATCACCTGCCGCTTGCGTAGGGGGGGGGGGCTGCAGCCTGGGAGGAGGGCGCTGCAGGCCGCTTGGCACCTTTGGACACGCGCCCAAGCACTCCCTTCACCATCTTCTTCACTATGAGCCCGCCCGGTTTTGAGCTTGCGTCCCAGTCGCTGCAGCGGCTCTGTCAGCGGACTAATCTTGCGGTAGCGGCGATCAATTGCGTGCTGCTGCTTGGCGTTGCGCCTTCGGGGAAGGATGTGGTCCTCCTCTGTCAGCTGGCTGTTGGTGGTGAAGATGCGTGGCATGTACTGCGGGAGGGTGCCATTGTTGTAGCGAGCGGCATTTGATGCGCTCGCTTGGCGGTGAGCTGGCTCAGCACGTCTTCATTCGAGAGCTCGCCGCGGCCGAGTGCGGCGTACGTCAGGTGGTACTTGCGGGCGGGTTGATGACGCTCACGTCGGCCGGGGCACCACCCACTAGCTGCATGATCACCGGCTGGTCACTGATCACCGATCACCGGCCTTTGGAGAGTTCTATAGGACTTACTTATTCAGACGGTGATCGGTGATCAAGTTTCGGCGGCACGTAACGTCCAAAACAAGGCCACGACTGTCGTCCCCCGGCACCACCGGGCACGGGGAAGTCGCGAAGGGCAAGTGGAGTGCGGGAGGTACGACTGGGCCGGCGAGCGGGGGCGCGTGGCGCCCTTCATGAACCTGTCCTTTTAGTTAGGAAGGCCGGCATTTAAGGCGTAACTTCACCCTAGCTCACCTCGAGTATATCTAGGCGCCCTGGTGCAGTCGGTCTTCGGATCAGCGGCCAGCTTCCCATCTAGGGCAGAGAACCCCCAGCGACGCTAGTGTGGCCTACGGTAGCCATAGCTTGTGGACTGAGCCAACGAGCTCGGAGTAAGGTCCACAGTAGAGAGGCCGGCATTTAAGGCGTAACTTCACCCTAGCTCACCTCGAGTATATCTAGGCGCCCTGGTGCAGTCGGTCTTCGGATCAGCGGCCAGCTTCCCATCTAGGGCAGAGAACCCCCAGCGACGCTAGTGTGGCCTACGGTAGCCATAGCTTGTGGACTCTGGAGCTCCAAGAGAGGATAGAGAGAGGAAGGGAGATTGGTGTGCCGGTTTTTTGAGTTAGCAATTTTTTTTAGGAGGCCAATGGTCCACAATTCACAACGCTTCCAATATTGTGTACCAGAGAGATAGGTGTGAGAGCTTTGGGAGCGGCCTCTTCAACTGAGCCAGTTGGTTAGAGGCGTGTGTGAGTGGTTGCTACTTTCAACGATCAGCGTCGTGTTGGTCCCAACACTACCCGTCGCAAAACACTTGCCGTTTGCGTCGCTGGCACTAGAGTCTAGACGTGCCACGCCCTGGAGGGCGGGCCCGGCGCCACATGGCGCCGGCCAAACCGTCGAGTTTCAGAGTCAAGCGATTGCGCGACATCCCACACTGGTGGCATGCCTCCATGCCGCCGTCAAGTCGGAGCCAGTCTGCGGCGATCACAACGGATAGGCCGATGACTTTTAAAGGACTTGTCCTTTACAAAAGGACACCTTGATCTCGCGTTTTCGCTCCCATTGAGCTCTCTGCAAGCCTCTCCTGGGCATTGAGGTATGCTACCATGTCCACCTGACAGCCTCCAGGCGGCGGGGTCACGACCCAGCCCAAGCAACACATTCAAAACCGACCCGGTGACGTACCCGCAACCGCTTGTCCTTTACGCCCGCTAGTCCTCATCACTGTCTACAATCACCTGCCGCTTGCGTAGGGGGGGGGGGCTGCAGCCTGGGAGGAGGGCGCTGCAGGCCGCTTGGCACCTTTGGACACGCGCCCAAGCACTCTCTTCACCATCTTCTTCACTATGAGCCCGCCCGGTTTTGAGCTTGCGTCCCAGTCGCTGCAGCGGCTCTGTCAGCGGACTAATCTTGCGGTAGCGGCGATCAATTGCGTGCTGCTGCTTGGCGTTGCGCCTTCGGGGAAGGATGTGGTCCTCCTCTGTCAGCTGGCTGTTGGTGGTGAAGATGCGTGGCATGTACTGCGGGAGGGTGCCATTGTTGTAGCGAGCGGCATTTGATGCGCTCGCTAGGGTGGCGCCCACCACGTACGCGGCCGTGCTGTACTCGGTGTTGCACGCGGCCGGGTCGACGTAGCACCGCTCGTGCTCGACCCGTGGAGGCCGTACGTGCCGGGGTGCGCGAGGCTCACGTCGTCCGCCGTGACGACATGCACCTCGCCGCTCACGAGGCTGACGCCGGCCGGGTAGGCGGCGAGGCACGGGCAGTCGAGCGCGGCGGCGAGGGCGAGGGCGGCGAGGGCGGCGGCGACGTCGTACCAGAAGATCGTCTGGTACGACGCACTTGCGATGGCCATGTCGCCCTCGCCCTCGCGCGCGACGACGATGGAGGAGAGCGAGTCGGGGACGGAGGTGCCGGAGGACAGGCCGCCGGTGCGGTCGCCCTTGTAGGCCCGGCGGCGAGGGCGGCGGCGACGGTGGCGGCGGAGACGGTGGCGGTGGCGAGGGCTGCGGCGGCGAGGGCGGCGGCGGAGACGGTGGCGGCGGCGAGGGCGGCGGAGAGGGTGGCGGCGGAGAGCGGCGGCGGGGGCGAGGGTGGCGGCGGAGAGGGCGGCGGGGGCGAGGGTGGAGGCGGCGAGGGCGGCGGCGAGGGCGGCGGAGACGGTGGCGGCGGAGACGGTGGCGGTGGCGAGGGCGGCGGCGGCGAGGGCGGCGGCGAGGGCGGCGGCGACGGTGGCGGCGGAGACGGTGGCGGTGGCGAGGGCTGCGGCGGCGAGGGCGGCGGCGGAGACGGCGGCGGCGGCGAGGGCGGGGGCGGCGACGGTGGTGACAGCGGCGGCGGCACAGAGGGCGGTGGGGCCG